CAAAGACTTTGTCCTTTCAGTCCTTGGTGAATTTGCCAACAACAAGTCGGGGAAGTAGCTCCAATTGTAAGATGAATAGTGCACTTTGGGTAATGCTTTACCTCACCACCGCGCAGCACCTTGAGCCAGGAGGGTGTTTTCGGCACCCTGCGTAGGGAAGCTGTCATAGGACGCTGAGTTTTGAGCGCGGAGAGTCGAAATTTGTTAGTGTGTGCGTTGACGTTTGAGTGCCGGCGAATTACTACTTGGCCGAATTTCTAATGGTTGTTACTCGCTCTCTTCAATTTCTATTATGAATTTGATATTTTCTCTTTGACTGCTGTGGTGTAGTGTTACGAAAATAAATCATAATTGAAGAGCTTTACGCAAATGTAAAATGTTAGGCTTTAACGCTGACACTGTCAGCGACGGCTTCGATGCTCAACGCTAAGCGCTGTATTTGAGGGAGGGCTCGCTCCTTTCTGATTTCTTGCTGAAGAAATTTCGCCGAAGCCAACGTTACGGATCGTCGAGGTTGATCCTTCATTTGTTTATGCGAAAAACCTTCTCTCATCGTCACTTTCCTGACAACATAGAACATTCTTTCCCTTGGAAAGAATTTCTTTTTTTTGTGATGCTACTCTCCCACACCACCAAATTTTGCATACGTCCCATTGTGCAGTATAATTAGATAGGAACTACCGTGGTACTGTAGCACACGAGGAAGCGGTGCTGATTTTTAAAGAATTTCCACTCATTGCCGCGCATAGATTTTCTCTGCTGTCGTATTGTTTCAGTGCAGAACAGAATTTATAAGGCGTCTAATTATCTACAATCCTTATATTGTGAAAATGTTCCGTAATATTCTGTGTCCCGTCTTAGAGGAAAAGATTCGGGACCGGGAAAGCGTTTCTGATGATGGAAAGTGCGTATTTTTCTCCATTGTTTTTGGACTTGAAACTTATGAGATTACCGTAAAGAGAGGTTAATCAATTGTTTTTTGCGATGATAGCTCGTCACATTTGTCATGATGGACACCAAAAGTATTTCAAGATCCATTTATTTTCCGAAGCCCTTTTAGTTATAAAACGATGCTCGTTTTATTGCTTCTGATTGATGGATTAGGTGGACGCAAGAATGATGCTCCACTTCAACGAGCTTTTTTCTGAATAGAAAACTACTGCACCAAAATATATGCCCATGTAAGTGCGTAGGAAAAAGGAGTTAGAACAAATCACCTAGTTGTCAATTATGTCGCGATTGTGCTTTGTCAGGGCTAGGCCTTCATAGGGTGCCTTGTCTAGATCTTTTCACTGGAGAATTCTCTTTTACGTCTAGTATATATATCTATGTATATAAAAAACTAAATCTATGCGGCCGCTCCGGTGTACATTCCGCTACTGCTGGGCTCTGCTGAGTTCACATGTGCTCTGTTTATCTTTTATTATACCAAACCAATCCCAAATTTGACTTCACCTTTCCAGGTGCTTTCCAAGGTGATACAGAATTTTGCGACAGGCAGTCGCGAATGCTCAATAGTTAGTAAGCAATAGTAATGATTTCAAAATGTTTAACAAAAATAATGGATTTTTGCTTTTTGCTTCACCTACTTCTCTGCATTCCCAACCCGCAGTCTAATGTTGACCATCCTTGCTTCAACTTCCTCTAACACTTTTCTTGTATTCTAGAACTTTTTGAAGAAAATGATAAAGTTCTGATCCCACCTTTATTCTCCTCACGGCAAGCTTTGCCTACCATGAGCATTCGACTACACATAGTCTTCCTTTTTCCTGAATTTTAGAAAATTCTTTGAACAGAGCTGCATATACTTCCTTTCGGGACGCTCTGCCTACCGCTAGTTCCTTACCCTTGCTCATCTGTTCCAGTGCCTTACTCCTCCCGCCACTAGCATTTGGCTGACTTTCTTTCGTCAGACTCCAAGAGTTTTTTACGGACTTTGTAAAGTTTTGAACAAAATTATGAACTTTGTAAAAAGCCCTTTCTACTTCGTTTCTGTATTTCCGAGAGCGCTTCACGGCTATCGTAGGCAGAGCTTCGATTAGTCTACGCGCTACTTGAACCTTGTTTTTCTGCCGTTTCGGCTTTGGATTAGACCAGTGAAATCATTCATTAACTACCGTTCTATTTCGGGGCGCTCTGCCTACCGCTAGTAGATCTCATTCAATTTACCTGTTGACTCATTCCTCACCCTTGCTCATTTCTTCCAGTGTCTGGGCTCTTCTGAAAGCAATTCAAGGTTTTTTGGCCTTGGCACCAACTCAGTTCATGTCCCCCACCCCCTCACATGTGCTCTGTTGATCTTATCCTATGCCGCTCCTTTCTCAAACTCGATCCGATTTCTCCATGTGCTTTTCGGGAATCCCAAATTTCGTGATGCGGAACGCGTTACGAAATGGCTGCGAGCGCTTTTTATATAGGGAAAAATTTATTGTACCAGGTATCTAGTATTAAGAAAATAGAAAGCAAACACCAATGAAATCCATCATTCAGTCAGAGCAAGAAAGAATGCAACATACATCGCATACGCAAACGTTTACGAACGAAACGATGGTTGAAAATGACGCTCATAAATCGGAAGAACTCAAGCTTTTTTCCAAAATCTCTTGAACATTCTACAATTCAACGCAGAAGTTCTTTGTTTAAGTGTTGCCTAAAAATGCTGTAATCTTACGTTGGTGTGAAACGGCTTATTCTGGGCCTCTCAAATGAGAAAACCATCTTTCGCATGAAAATGCGACGCCTATGTTAAGAAAACGTCTTTTTGGTTTTGAAACGATCTTGAGGCGTTCCCTTCGATTATTACCCTATTGTGAAGAATGTATTTTGCCTGGACGCATCACATTTAGCAAAGTTGAGCTCGCGGGAAAAGTTGCCCTTGTCCTCGTAAAGGGATAGTTTTTGGAGAAAATGTCAGTACAGCACGAAGAGCGAACGACTTTTCGAACATTCCCACTGATGGGAAACAGAATGGCGTGTTGTGTAGATGTATTTCGACATTACTGAATAGGGTGTCATCACAATATGTGCTTTACTGCTAAGGGAATTTCAAAGAATCTGCAATCTTGTTGACCTGCGATCTTGTTGAAAGCTAGTGGTAGTACGCCGCGTCAATCTCGGCAACCAACGGTGCCAGCACAGGTGAGCTGAAGGCGGCGCTATATCGGGTCGGCGCGATAACTATTGCGAATCGTTTCAGAGCGTGGCGAATACAGCGATATACCTAATCAGTAATTCTGAAGGTCTAATTGAGGAACTCTTCGATTTTTGATCTCACTGAAGCTTTTTTTGCTTTATCTCTACGATCAGAAATAGTCACAGTTTGTGGAAATTTTGCTGTTTCTTGAATTTCGCGCCCAATAAGTCGTTTTATTAGTCCCCTCATTCGGAAACAGCTGTTGTTCTTCAGAGTTAAATCTCATGTATCCAAATGCCCATGGTACACTATATTGCACGAACGTAGAAGGGTCGTATACCCACACTTGCTGGCTCCCTTCTACTACATGTATGGGTATTTGACAGTTTTTCTTGACAATTTTCGTATCCATATGTGTTGCGCTTTGAGCGCAGCCCTTGAATCACTCTGCCAGTACATTTGTTTCCTGCGAATTCAAAACCAGGCCATTAATTGAAGATACAAATTTACGTTTTTGAATCCTTTAGTTATCATGAATTTGGTACGGTCAGGAAGGGGATGGTTCTAGGTGTTGTCATGTCTGAGGTGTGACCTCTACCGAAACCGCTGGTTGGCTTGTAATTAAGTGAAGAAAATTGGCATTGGCTTGGCGTTAGTCAAGTTCTATAACCCATGGGGTTGATTCAATTTCCAAAAAATTAAAACCGGTTGGAAATTACGGCAAAAAGGTAGTAGGCGATGGGAAATCCATCGCTTGCCATCGATTAGACGTAAATTAGGAGGGGTCCTGTAACTTTAACACAAAGCCACCGAAAACTCAATCATAAGAATTTTATCAAACTCATCAGGTCACCGATTAATCGATTTTGGTGTCTGCATAGCATTAACTCACTTGTTTGCATTTTAACGCAAACCTGTACACAGCTGTGTGAGTCGAACGGTATACGCTTCTGTACGATATGTGCGAATAAAGCTACTTCGCCACCTAACCTTTCTGATTGTATGTACGGTGACTCCTGTAAGTGGATTCGTTGATTGCTCAATTTCCGGAAGCAATCGTAGCCGGGACGAAAATAAGTCATGAGAGAGTCAGTGCGCCCTCAGTAAATATAAAAAATAGATGGAACAGTTAAAGTACGGCACGAAAGTAGAAGGAAATTTGGTGTAAAATAAGACCAACGATGACTTGACAACTTATTCGACATGAACTTTTCCCCTTCACATATGTATGGCGAATTTCAACCATACCTGCTCCTCACAATAGCCAGATCTCTTTGACACGAATCTCTCTCTTTCTCTTTCTCTCTTTCTTTCTCTCTGTCTCTTTCTCACTCTATACAAATTAATGTACGGCTACAAAATTCTGAACTAACAGTAGCTACTCCATCATCGTCGTCCGTTCTCCATTATCTAATGTAACGCAGTGTAAATGCATAGTAAGATCTAAATTACAACAACGAACGTTGACATTCAAGAAGAAAATGGTGAAATCCTTATATGTGACAACATGCTAATTTATTTTCAATATTATCGAGACAGCCTTTTGAAATTCATTTTTCTTGAGCAAGTCTTTAAGCGCCTGCTTTCTTGCAGCTCACTATTTACATTCTGTTATAGAGAAATATTCTTCCATATGGTTAGCATTGTTAGTTACAACCCTTAATTTTGTTCCAATGTTTGGCATTCCTTTAATTCATGACACAATGCCCAGCTTCCTCGAATTCGCTCACTTCGCTAGAGTAACTACAGGAACTACGTGCGAGTGTGGAATTGTCTCCCTTGTCGAACCCTTGCGTGCTTTGCGTTGATGTAGTGAAAGGATCATTTGTGGTGCATGGTTCAGCTGCAATCTTTTATTATTTCTAGAATATTTCAGCAAGTATGCCGAACACGAGCATCTAAACGAGTTCACCACATCGCTAATCTGACCACAGCTCTGACAGTTCTGCGACGGAGAGGTATCTTTTGAGCTCATATGTAAAAATTTTTTCTAACGGAATTTTTTACCTGGTTTTTTCTCTATTCTTCTCTGCCAATTAGTACAGTGCATGAAAATTTAGGTCTTGAATTGGTGAACAATAATGCTAGTGACATCGCTGATGGCAACCCTCGTATTGTCTTGGGGCTCATATGGCAAATCATTCTTCACTTTCAGGTAAGCGAGTTTTGATGTAGATTGACTACCTGTGCTCGTTTTAATGATTTGAATTACTTCAAATTCTCTGGCAAGGGAGAAAGCAAGTGTAAAAACCTGGCAGAACCAAATCTTCTCTTCATCCCACTATAGCTCACGAGATTATTTGTGAAGCATAGGTTTCATCACTGTCTTATTTACATACGCATAATGGTTTTATTCTTGGCAGCAAACTCTCAGGTAACTGGGAAATTCTGAGTACTTCTCATCATCTTGTGAACCAAGTAATTGCTTTCTTACTTCTGCAAATACCCTCGATTTGTGGAAGAAAAGCGTGCCGCTCTGCTCGGAAAAAGTGCGAGAGGCGACAGAAAGTGAGATGAGAGACTGAACTAAGGCGTCACTACCACGAGTTTTTTGGAAGATTTTCGCTGGGACTAAGTAGATTTCTTCTTTTGATTATTGTTTCCCTAGTACCAAGAAGTACCAAGAACAGTCTGAGAGTACAACGTTTTTCATTCGTTCTGCCTCGGCAAAATCAATTTAGCTGTATTAATCTCTGTGCAAAGGTTTGCTTATGGGCTACATGAAGTTTTTGAAAGGCAGTGCTTACCGGAAAACTGTCTTCGTTCTGTTGGGAGTTCTCTTGGAGTCCTACGAGGTATTACGAACGAAAAAACAAGAACTCATGGAACTAATTCAATAGAATCACTCTGTATGTTCAATACCTGCTCGTCTTTTTCTGAATTCGAAATCCTCTCGGAGCTGGTACAATTTCTTATCACAATCATTTTTGAAAAACAAGTCTATAGATGACCCTCAGCATAAAATTAGCAGTCTCGTTCTCACTCACCTGTGATTATTTAACATGAAGTATATACACTGCGAACATATATTCACAAATTTTCACAGCATCCGGAAAACCGCTGATCCCTTTGGGTAGACATAGCGTTGGTGTGATTTTATAGCGTGCTCAAGTCCGTATATCGTTTCTGGGAGGAAAGAACATAGTCAAACTCAAGTCAATCCGCACCTCCGCTTACTTTGGGGTGAGCCCGCTTGATTGGTTGAGTGCTGAGCTCTCTGTTGGGCTCAGCAATACCAACGCATTGCCAAAATTAATTGATTATTGGTTTGGAAAACACCCTCTCGACTCCCCTGCAGACAAATTATCTAGCAGAGATGACCATTCACAAATTTTTAAAAATAATGCAAAAAGACGTTCGGACAAAACACTCATAAGGCTGGACAGCTTTTGGAGCTAATTTTATGATGGCATGATTTTGACTTTTTATATTCCTCTAGTTATTTGAAATTTGCAGTCGTGGTGCTACCAGTAAAAAGTTTCTGACTCATA